TGATTAGGGCAGTAATATTACATCTTCTATGCTCACTTAAAAAGAGCAGGTGGAATAAAAACATGCAGGGGACTTCACACCATCTACGAACCAAAAATGACCATTGAAATCAGTTTATAGAAAAATATTAATCCCATTTCACATGAATATTACTGCATATATACATACATACACCGTTGGAACAGGTACTACATTTGGACAGTAATGTAGGACAATAATTTAGCATAATTTTTGCACGGGCCGTACTATGAAATTTTATATGAAACTATTATTGTTGTATATTGCAGGAGTATGTGAAGACAACTGAGTGTGATAACTTTGTGCTGGAAAAATCTATGAAAATAAATTCTTATTGTAATCCAATAAAGGCAGTGGAGAGTATAAGGACCTATTTAAATGAGGATGAGCTCAAAGAATTCAGGAAATCAGTGTTCGGTTATTTACTTGACTTGGGAAACATACCCTGGGTAAATGGGCAGTTGTTAATCCTACTCTGCGCCAATCATGTTAAGCGATTGAATACAGAGAATGACAAAACAAAGCTGGAATTTTTTATTGGTAACAAAGTTGCATCTTTTACAAAAAGTGACTTGGCTTTAATTACCGGGTTCCCGTTTGGTACACAGAAGGCAATAACATCCAGTAAAGCTCCAGGCGATTTGTGGAGAAGATACTTCTCTGGAATGAAAAAAGATGCACGAAGAGACATTAAAGACGTTTTTGAATCAGGGAAATCAAGAGAGAGTGGAGCAGAGGCAATGGACGCGGTAAAGCTTGGTTTATTGCATGTCCTAGGTAGTTATATTCTAGGAAATCAAGCATCAATAAAGCTCCCATCGATGTACATTAATTTGGTAGATGATATCGAAAAGTTCAACAAATATCCATGAGGTGATGTTGTGTGGGATGATCTACATGAACAAGTAAGGAAATGTGCAGGTGTTCTTTACCAGGAGCCGTATGCAAGATTTACATTTCCAGGATATATATTTGCTCTGCAGATCTGGGCATATGAGACTTTCCCGGACCTTGAAAAAGCAAAAGTTTGTGTGAGGAGGGCGAGAGCAAATATGTGGCCTAGGACACTGCAATGGGCAGCCCCTGCTAGGCCGTCACAGCAAGTCATTGAGGATGTGATATTTAATAATGACCAGGTGGGAAAAGTAAATAATTGAATGTAAGTGTTGTATTTGTCATATTGGGTAATATAATAATGTTTTTATAATTATATGTGCAGGTAGAATGGGAAGAAATGAAAGCCACTGAAAAAGAGCTAAAGATGGAGTCAGTTATTAAAGCATTGACAAGCAATGTTAATGAAGTTGATGTGAAGGAGGGAAATGATAGTGACGATTTCGAAGAACGGGATGTAGTAGAGTGATGGCCAAGGCAGTAATGACACGCAGTAAGGTAGTACAAAAAAGGCAGGCTGCGCAAAAAGGGAAAGCAAAGAGACAAAAGAAGCCCGGAAATGAAGAGAGGGAAGATAAAGTGATGCACAAAATCATGGCAGCCATTGTATCACAAGGAAAAAGATTAAAAAAGCTAGAATCTAAGGTGGATAAGCTGTGTGAGTTGCAAATGAAACAATCCAGCATGTTGAAGAAGGTTTTAACTAGTAGAGGCATGATGTGGAAGCGTAAAAAGATGAAGAAAGTGTCTAAGAAAGCAACAATGAAAGATAAGGAAGACATGCCAAGTTTTGACTTGGGTATGGAGTTTAATGAACAAAGAGTAGAGGACAGTTAGCAAGGTAATGAGCATGATGAAGTTGAGGAGTTAGTCTGTGAGAGATCAGAGACGGTTGATAAGATGGTGGAAGATGATGTGCAAATGACACAAGATGACATGTTCAAGGAAGTAGATGGATCAATGAACACCCAGCAGCTACTTAAGGAGGTGGAATTGATTGAAAAGAATATGATGACTGATGAGACAAAGAAAGAAGAACAGGCTGATGTTCAGATCTTTGAAGATATAGGAATGCTGGATACGCAGCTGCTGTGTGCGAAGGTAGATGTGATTTTTGAGAAATACATGGACAATATGGAGGCTAAACATGACAGTGAAAAAGAAAGCGAAAAGGTAAGTGGTGTTTACAGTGATTGTGTTAGTAACTCGTTATATAATTGTGAATATTTTGTGCAGGTTAAGGTGAGTGAAGATATTGATAGTGCCTGCAAGGACACTAACACAACAAATTATGCTGAGCTAAACAAGGAAAGTATTTGATCATATTACAAAGGACTGGATACATGAAATTTTAAGTTTTTTAAAGTAACTGCATCATTATTATTATAATTTTTTACTTTTTTTTCCTTTGTTTCTCACAACATACTTCGACAACACATGGACCTTATTCACATCCAATGCCTATGTAATGCTTATAATGTCCATAGTTTTAGTAAACCAGATTAATGCTCTCGATTCTGTACATTGACACTTCAACAAAACTCAACAAATTTAATTTTAATACGTGTTAAAAACTGGCTGGTTTTACAAAAATGAGCAGTTAACCAAGGTGATAGGGAAATTGAGCACATACCTAGAAGAACGAAGGAGAAAGTAATCATTATCTCATCAATTAGTGCATTAAGTGATGATTGTAAGAGTTGTGATGGTCATGTAGGATAAGGAAGAGGGAAATGGTAAAGAGGCTGAAGTGGAGCAAAATGAAGATGAGAAGGGCATTGAAGACATTGACCCAGAAACAAACGAAGAAAGTCTAGAACCACTAGACTCGCAAATTGTGGTAAAATATATTTAGTTAGGCCATAATATTGCATTTAAGATAGAAGATGTAGTCTGTAAAAATGTCATGCATTCATAGTCATGCTCATAATTCAATTAATAGCAGTTTTATCATAATAGTTGCGGAAAGGTTTTTTTCCGGTGGATCAAGTATACACAGGGGACACAACCCCGCTGACAGTTGATGGAATGCCAAAAAGAAAGAAAAAATGCCCAGACAGATTTACATTTTCTGGACCCCGAAAACAGAAAAAGAGGAGGAAACAAGAGAAGGGAAATGAGCAAGATATAGGTGATGATGTAAGGCATGCAATAGTGGGGCCATTTAGTCTAGATCCATCAGAAATGCCACCTGCAGAATTGCTTCAAAAAATATCAGAATTCATGCATGATGGACTACTTAAGAACCACAAAAGTAGTAAGGAGAGGAAATACAAATCAGGATATGATGAATTAAAGATCAAAGGCATTAAAGAAGCATTTGGGGATGCAAGCTGTGATAGGAAATCATGGTACTACACAATATACTTCCCCGGGAATTGGTTAAGCGACACGGTTAGATTATATTATTTAATAATAATTTTTTTTCATAATTATGCATGATAATTTAGTGGTATTACTTAGAATTACAAGTAAAGGCAGTAACTCACGCACTAATAATTTTTAAATACATTAAATTTGATATGTGAAGCACTTGGAGGTTGGAATGTTTTTCTTAAGGATGAAAGCTGAACAATATAAGCTGCATCAGAAGTTCACAACAGCAGATACTATGTTTATGCCGTTGGTAAAGCAGCATTACGACAACCACATTTCCAATGCAACGCCAATGTCAGAAAGTGCTTTAAATAAGAATATAATGGGTGTCATCCTTGGGACACGTTTGGACTACGGACTGGCCTGGGCTGAATCAGAGCATGTATACATGCCATTGAATACAGGTAACCACTACATTCATTTGGTGAGTTGTGAATAAATGATAGATTTGTGTGATAATAAAGGGCAGTACTTTTACATAATAAAGTATTGTCCTTTAATTGTAAAATGAGAATTTGGTGAATTGTATACATGCCTTTGAATGCAGGTAATCACTGGATACTTCTAGTGCTTGACATAACTGCGAAGTGCATACGTGTGTACGATTCTAGTGTTCGACAGGGTCAAACAAACATACACCTTCACCATTACCTCCCGAGCTTGCAAATGTTTTTACCGAGACTAATGGATAAGCTAGGAGTGTACAATGAACGTAGTGAGGGGCCTATGAGGGAGGATTTACTGCAGATTCATATGGTGAAAGAATTCCCACAACAAAACGATAGGTATGTGATTAAAGTCAATGACCAACGATGGTTTAATAAAAAATGATTAGGATTCCATGAAATGATAATTTTATATTGTTGAACAGTGACAGTTGTGGCATGTTCGTGTTAAAGATGGCTGAGTTTTTAATGATGGACAAGGATGTGGAGTACGTTAGACCAGAAGATATCAATGCATACCGCGCCAAGATGACAACAGAGCTTCTAGTTCATTTTGGTGTCATAGGCGCATAGCGTTGAAAACCTAATGACCAATATTTTTTAATGTTACAGAGCTGGATATTATGGATATTATGCTTGCTTTACATAATACTAGTGGTTTTTGTATGTACTGTGGTTGTAGTATGTGATGGTGGTTTTTGTATGTCCTGTTTTGTTTATTGAGCTTGAGTTTGGTACGATAATTTTCAAGAATGTAAATGACTTAGAAGTTATTTTAAGGACATTGAGGAATTAAATATGCAGGACATTGAGTATGTATAATGACATATTGTGAAAGAATGACTAAAAAAGGGTAGGTCAGTGCGGCATTAAATATATACTAAACAATGTATAGAGTACATATGTTGAAATATTGTCAGGGCAGGTGGTTATAGTTGTTAAAAAATGGAGGACATTGAGTATGTATATTGCCATATTGTCAGTTATTGACCTTTGGAGTTTGGTACGATAGTTTTTAACCATGTCAAATGACATAGAAAATAATTTCAGGACATTAAGGCATTAAAACTGCTCGAAATTGAGAATGTATATTGACATATTGTCACCTTTTGAGCTCTGGAGTTTGGTAGTATATTTTTCAATCATGTAATATGACATAAAAAACAAGGGCAGATCATTGAGGCATTAAATATATAATAAACAAAAGGAAGTAGTAAGCATCAATGTGTATAGATGGACATTGAAATACTTTTTTTAACACACAGAGGGCAATAATAGAAACTGCAAATGAAATTTAAAATTAAACAACACTGAAAGTAACGTCAATAAACCAAACAAGTGTACGTGACTAGATGCGCAACAATGTTAAAATTAAAACGGCACATAAAAACAATTTTTAACGCATGTGTAGCGGAATAGGATTTCTACAAGTCTTTCTATTGTGTCCAACCATGAGGCAACGAGTGCATGTTTGTCTCCGAACATGTTCTCCTGTAGATGGAATTCTTCTTTTCTTCGGCCTTCCAGGAGGTCGTGATTCACATGATGGCAGGTTGCAAGTGATTTGCTTAACATGTGAAGGTACAATCCAACCATCCGGACTCCCAATAGGATGAATAATACCGTGATATGTTTGTGCCCAATGATGTGCAGTATAGAATTCTGAAATGTAATCGTAGCAAGAAAGGCCTGGGCGGGAGCGAATAGCTACAACGGAATGTACACATAAAAACCCATCAAGCTGAAATTCTCGACAAGTGCAAGTCTGCTCCTTCAAGTTGACAACATAAGAGCGGGATCTCTTATCAAACACATCAAACTCAAAAGCACATGATGGTTTGACCTGCACAATGTGTGATTAAACATATAAAACTATAATTAAATATTAAGTACAGTAAAAGTAATTCAATAATGCATAACGTTGGGATGTATTTTAAAAAAGTAGTGCAATGAAGACAAAGAGAAGAGGGTAATACTGTCATGACGGCCACCATAGCTTGTAAAACAGCTAGTTCAGATTCAAAGTGTGCAGATAAATGACAATTGTTCGACGCTGAAGAGTCTCACCGTTGACTAAACCATTTTTGCATTCGTGCAATAATAAACTCTATCAACTTACACATTGGGTATTCTCGGGCAGTGGCATTAACTGCATTTAATGACTCCGCGTTGTTTGACATCATAACTGAGTACCGATTTCGACTAGCATAAGCACCAGACCATTTGTCATGGCCCATCCGCTCTAAATACGTACGAATGCGTGGATCCTCACTGTCCATCATTTGAAGATACTCTTCACACTCGTACACAGATCCAACACGAGCAGTCTGCAAAAACTTCCATGACACAGTTTTTTGCGTGCCACGAAATCTTGTTTTCAAATTAGCCAATATGTGGTAAACACAGTAACCATGTTGCGCATGAGAAAATACAGAATGCACGGAACTAATTATGCCCTCGTGGCGATCAGACACAATATATAGATCATCTCGATGCATCAGAGAATGCTTCAACATACTGAAGAACCATGACCAAATTTCGGTATTTTCTCCACTATAAATACCGAATGCCAATGGAAATATTTGTTTGTTTGCATCTTGTGTACATGCAGTGAGTAATGTACCCTTATAATACGACTTCAAAAAAGACCCATCCACAATTATAACCGGAATGCAATGAATCCAACCTTCCCTCCATGCAGAAAGGCACATGCAAAAATTATTAAATTCACCATTTTCCTTGCACGAATAAGAAACAATAGAACCTGGGTTACTCCTTTCAAGCACATGACACATTGAAGGTAAGTGTGCATATGAATCCTTTTCAGATCTCATAGCCAGTTCCATTGCCAATTCTTTGGCAATCCATGCTTTTTTGTATGACATGTAAATGTCGTATTTGGTCTGCATATCAAGCATAATTGATTTCGGAGGGTATGGCTTATTGGATGCATCACCGTACTCTTGTTTGATATGTTCGGCAATAATCCTGGACTTAGCTTGACGGCTATTTCGTTGACGTACATCAATGGGGCATGTGTGCTCAGAGTCAAATCTGTGAAAAAATGGATAATGAAAGGAATTATCTCTTGGGAAGTACAGTGGATAATGAATTAATGCACATTGTTTGAAATAATAATATTAAAAAAAAATGCATTTGTTATAGGAAATAAAAAATGTATGATGCCATAAAAAACAGTAGCAATTAAAAAATAGTTTGGCAATATACAGTATTAAATTAAAGTGAGAAGAGGACATTTAAAGTGAAGGAATAGCAGTACACAAAGGGTAGTGGTAAAATGAGATTCTTTAACATGCAAACAAGACGTAATGCAAAACACGGGGCATTAAAACAATTGCACATGGGGCATTAAAATATATCCACAAATTATAATAGCACATGTGGAATTAAAACAATATGACGGTAGAAAAATTAATTAAGAGATACGTTAACATGCAAGCAAAACTTATTGAAAAAAGCAAGGCATTATAACATCTTTATCTTTAGTACGTAGCTGCCGTTTGTTTGCCGGTTATCTCAGAAAATACCCCATGAGTCCCGGTCTATCTAAAACATTGAATGTGGCTTAATCTTTGTTCAGATTCATGCTGCGTTTGTTGCTGCAGTTATACAAGGAGCCAAACACTCTTGCAGTTTGATTTTTATGCTATTCCCATCCTTATTACTTAGTTTGAATTACACTTCATTTGTAGGTATCCCATAGGGAGCATTTTATATTTTTAATAGTAGTGCATAGGTAGGTATAGTTTACCTAATAGGAGTATATATTAATATCAGAAAAGTCAACTTTGTATTTTTGGTACTTTTATACACAAATTAAAATAGATATATATATATATATAATCATTTATTACTCATGACACATGTATAACTGGTACTTGATATAAAACGTTACTTCTATTATCGGACCAATTTTATCAGACTAAACGTGTCACATATGTAAAATTTTTGTCTGATTCACTTATTAAATGAAATATTTTTATCTATCTAAAACGTCGTAAATTTTGAAATTTTATCTGATTAGAATGTCTTGACTATTGAATTTTTGTTTGACTCACTTAATAATTAAAATGTCATTTTCGTAACATTTTATGATTTATCTGACTAATAAAAATTATTTTTATTTTTATTTAATTTTTTGGAGTGTCACATTAATGTGACACTCCAAAAATTTAAATAAAAATAAAAATAATTTTTATTGGTCAGATAAAATGTTACGGAAATGACATTTTAATTATTAAGTGAATCAAACAAAAATTCAACAGATGTGACATTTCAATCAGATAAAAATTATAAATTTACGACGTTTTAGTCAGATAAATATGTTTCGATAATAGAAATAACGTCTTATAATAATTATGAAAATGATGTTTTATATCAAGTACCAATTATACATATCACATAAAAGTTATTCTTTTAATTTGTGTATAAAATACAAACTTGATTTTTAAATACTAATATACTCCTAAAATGCAATTGATATGCTTATATTTTACACAATTTTTAGGCCTAGTTTGCTGATAATTTTAGTTATTAAAGTTATACTTTTGTACATATTTTTATTATTTGTCGTTAATTTGTATTTGTGCAGTCCTATGCGTGCATTTGGTATTTTCAGGTACTTTTGATGTTATTTAGATGGTGAGATGCATTTAGCGTGGAGAAATGAAGAAAATAAAAGTTCATGTTGGAGGATAACAAAAGTGAAATTTCCTTCAAAGCAAATAAGGAGTAAATTGGAGAAAAGTAGCAAAAAGTAATAAAGACACAGATGGGATTTGAACCCTGATCAATGCAGCAAGAAAGAGCATAGTTTACCAACGAGCTAAATGAACCATGTTGAAATATTTTGTTGAAAGTTCGATACATTGCTTCAGGCCCAACTTAAAAAAAAAGGAATAAAAGGAGAAGCTAACGGGCATTGAACCCAAGACCTCAAGCATTCCTCTGGGCTACTACACACTATTGTAACATTACTGCGCTTTATTGTACATAAACTCATCTATTCCGTAAATTCCAGCAATTAATGATTAATCACCTTATCATTATATTGCCTTAGTCCATCTTACTCCACAAATAAGCTCGGACCAACTTCTCTCTAAACATCCCAGAAACATTTCCTCCTTCTCTCTTCATTTCTCAACCCCAAATCATCAACCTATCTTCAACCATAACTAATCACTTTCTCATCCAAGATTAAGTCAAGATTAGCATCAAAGCTCCAAGGATTGTCATCTATCACAAGTTTGATCTTCCTTATCTCATTAAATCTTGTACTTTAATCATGGATTCATCTATTTCTATGTTTCCCAACACGTATAGCTAAATAAATTTGGGGCTAGAAATTGGTTAATTAATTGTTCTTATAATGTTTTAATTTGTATTGATTTTAATTGTTAAGTTTGTTCTATTTAGATTGTTGTGTCCAGAAAATTAATTATGTTGTGTTTGTGATATATATTATGAGTACTCAATCATAAACATATTGTTTGTTAAATACACAAATGAACACTTTCTGAACACACCGTTAAACTTCTTTTAACTTGTCCCGGATTGAAGTTTTACGGGAGAATTTAATTGTTTAATTATATTATTTACACCACGGGATTGGGTAAATAATATAGTTAATAATTAAGGTTGCCGTTGCACTTAAACAACTAGTCTCGTTTTGGCCATCACTGGGAAATGTTGACTAGTTACTTATTTTAGGTGACTTGTGTTGGGTCCTAAAATATTTATCTACAACTTCTCACAGTCTATCTAAGAATAGAATTAGCAATTATGTCTTACAAATGAGCATTGAACAATTAGTTGCCAATTTCTACCCCTACTTGCTATTGGTTGAACTTTGTGTTGATAAAAATCTCTTCTCTCAATCACTTTTATTTAATTACTTTTCCAAGCAAACAAAAATCAAAAGAAACGCACTCCCAACTTTAATCCTTAGTTTGTGCTTAATTATTTTATTTCCCGCTTCTCTGTGGTTCGACACCCTACTTCCTTGGGTAAAAAAAATAGTTGTGTGCCCATTATATGCTACACACCAACTTGGCGCCGTTGCCGGGGAAACGGTTTTGAAAAAAAAATGATAGCATAAACTTTTGATTTTAGTTATTGTAAATTGTGTGTATATTATTTTGTTGTTATCTTGTTTACTTTTGCAGGTTCAAAAAACAAGTGATTAATTAAAGTTCCAAAAAAAAAATGGACTGTGATTACCTAGGAAAAAGGTTACTAACCAAAAAGGTCAAATAAGTCCTTATATAGGAGGCTTTATGAGACCGTCTCCATTTGGGGCAGTTTCCGCTGGAATTTTTTGATGAATGTTTTTAAGAATCTTATCCATTAAGTCTAGTTTACTCATACCAAATTTCAGCTAGCAATTCAATTGGGAAGGGATTCAAATAAATTCTTGAAGATCACTGCACTTTTAACTGCGCAGTTATCTTCAAGAATTCATTTGAATGCCTTCCCGATTGAAGTTTTAGCTGACATTTGGTATGAGTAAACTAGACTTAATGAATAATATGCTCAAAGAATTGCATCAAAAATTTCCACCGGGAACCGCCCCAAATGACGACGGCCGGACATTGCCTCCTATATAAGGGCTTATTTGACCTTTTTGGGTTAGTACGTGGGCTTATTTGCCCCTTTTTCCTCTTACCTGAGCATTGGAGTTGGACTTGTTTACTGAACATATCCGGGCATTCAGACCATTGAACATATTGTTACATTTTAATTCAAAGGATAATCCGCCTATATGGCTGGACCGCTTACTTGTACATTTTAATTAAAAGGATATTCCGCCTATATGGTCGGACCGCTTGTTTGTACATTATAATTCAAAGGATACTCCGCCTATATGGTCGGACCGTTTATTTTTCTTTTTAAGGTGGTTCAAACCCACACTTTTTTAATTTCTGCACTTTAATTATCGCACTTTAATTTCAGCATTTGTCTTTTAATTTTGCATCCCCAAGCTTGTCGGCCGTGTCCACTTGTTGGTGGAGTGCACTTTTTATTTTTGTTTTTTTTTTCTTAATAATCCCCAGACTGTCGGCATAGCTGCATCTTGGTGGAGACTGTATTTATTACTGTAGCTATTTTTTTCTTCCCTCAAATCACCATATTTGTCGGCCCAGCCGCATCCTGGTGAATTACTGTATATATTCATACTGCTTTAAGGGCTCACTAGTCTTATTCGGTTATACCAACTGACTACGTGCGAACCTTAATTAATTAATTAATTCTGCATTTATTTTTTCTTTTCATCTCTCTCTTTTCCCAATCCCAATTCCCTTCTGCTTATGCTCACACGTTCACGTGGTGCGAATTGTGAATTGTTATTCTTCTCTGACATTGAAAAGCACATACGTGAACAGAAAAAAAAATGTCAACCGATGTTGTTGTTAATGAGCAGGTACCCGATCAAGAAATCGTGGATCAGGTTATGAGAACCAGAAAACCGTTGTATGATTATGTTACGCCTCCCGTGGATGAGCATGACAGTGTTATTCCACCAGAGGTTAACATGAATCACTTTGAAATCAAGCCTCCTATCATCCATATGGTTTCAAATACTCAACGTTGGCTCATCATATGGTGTGCCAGCTGATGCTGTCAGACTACGCCTGTTCCCATTCTCTCTACGGGATCGAGCTCAAATTGGCTTGACTCTTTTCCGGATAATCACTTCTCCTCTTGGGATCAACTTCATGGTGAATTTCTCAAAAGATTTTTCCCGTCATCTAAAACGGCGAAAATCCGAAGAATGATTCAAAATTTCAAGCAAAATCCCAATGAGCTCCTCTATGAGGCTTGGGAAAGATTCAAAGATCTCCAGCGACAGTGTCCACATCACAACATCCAAAACTGGCACTTGATGACGGCTTTCTATGAAGGCCTACACGAAAATTCTCGGATACTTGTGGACGCGTCAGCAAATGCAAATGGATGATGATGATGATGATGATGATGATGATGATGATGATGATGATGATGATGATGATGATGATAATAATAATAAAAATAATAATAATAATAATAATAAAAATAATAAAATAATAATAATAATAATCGTAATAATCGTAATAATCGTAATAATCGTAATAATCGTAATAATCGTAATAATCGTAATAATCGTAATAATAATAATAATCATAATAATCATAATCATCATAATCATAATAATAATAATAATAATAATAATAATAATAATAATAATAATAATAATAATAATAATAATAATAATAATAATAATAATAATAATAATAATAATAATAATAATAATAATAATAATAATAATAATAATAATAATAATAATAATAATATTAATAATCTGCAAAAGTTATTAATAAAATCTAGGATGAAAGTACTAGTGATAAAATTGGCTTGGTTGATTGATAGTAATCACTTGGACAAATTTGTTAATTATTATTTGGAATAATTACATATTAATAAATTTGTAAAATGAATTGATGGTTTAATTAATAAACGATTATCATATTAAAATAATAATTAATTATTTGGACTTAGTACCATAATTAGATTAAATAAAGTTGAATAGATATTATTTTCACTAATTATTGGACTAATTGAAGTAGATTAATCAAATTAACATAATTACGGACTTGGAAATATTACGTGTTTGCGTAAGCTAATAAAATCGGATTAAGTTAATGATGATTAGTTTTTTAAAATAAATTGTTATAATATTCAGATTAATTAATAGGGTTGATTAATATAAATTAATGTAGTTGCAAGATTTGAATAGTTTAACTAAGAACAATTAGGATATGTTTCCTATATTTTTAAAATATTAATATATAATTAATGTTTTATGAGTAGAGTAAACTAATGGCGATTATTGAATTAAAAATTTGATATTGTAGTTAATTATATTCGGATATTTTATTTAATTATAGAATTCAAATATTAATTAAATGTTGAATTAGTAAGGTAATTTGATTAATAAAAAGGGATTAATTCGGATAATTAATTAATTAAATTAATAAATTCGAATAAGGAAATAAAATGGGGAAAATCGGGTTAAATAATTACAAATAGAATAAGTGACTAATTATATCATCTTAATTAAAAAGGTGTATATTTAGAGACCGGAATTGAAGAAGAGAATTAGGAGCATCGAGACTTAAGGTAAGTTTCACGTCAACCGAAATTAGTTCTTTTTCTTCGTGATTTCTTTTAAATATTTTTTGTGTGCATATTTGAGAATTGAATTTATGTGTGCTGAATTTGAGTGAATATTATTATATGAAAGGGTTGTATTTGAGATATTAGTTGATATATTGTTTTGTTGATATGAGTTATTTTATATGATTTGGGAGATTTTGTAATAGTACGTAATTTGTTATCTTTGTGGGAGTTTAATGAAAAGGAAATTTTTGAAGTATAAACTTCGATTGATTTTGAGAAAACAAAGAAAAATAAATATTTTCATAAAGGGTGAGCATCACGGGAGAAATCTGTGGTGTTGGTTTTCCACGTCCCTTAAAATGTGGAGGGTGGTTAGGTCTACTACTACTCAATTTTTATTGGTTTTGGTTTGAGGTGAATTGACGGTCGGTAGAAAACATCCCGGCTTTTGAGTAGTAGTGGTAGTAGTAGCTCCTAATCATTCAGATTTTGAGGTGGGGTAGTTGGTAGAAAACATCCCGGCTACCCGGATCGACTTACTAACCCGGAGGGCTTGGGATACCTCTAGGGGGTGTGCAAACTTAAGGTAGTTGTTTCCGTTTCCAAGGAGCAGTTGTGGTACCGGCGATAGTTCCGGGGTGGCTGTACATAACAACGGATCACCGGGCTCAACCAGAGTGTTGAGCACCGCCCTTCTAAATTACTAGGAAGTTGGTTACAAAGTGATTTTTGGAGAAATTCAATAGAGGGGAAATTTTGGTGTTTCATGTATTTTGGAATTATTATGATTCACGAGTTATGTGATTGTGATTTTGTATAGATATCGTTTTCTTATGATTTATAAATTGTTTTGAAAATATTTTTATACTAATGGTTGTACGAATTTATATATATACTATTATTATTATTATTTTAAAAGGTTAGGTGGGACTTACTTAGTATTATTGCTAATGTTTGTTTCTTTTTATTTTCTTTCTGTACATGATTTTGTACAGGTGTTGAGTTGATCGATGTTGAAGTTGATTTCGAGAGAGAACTTTCGCTAGAAAACATTATTAGTAAATCATTGTAAATTTCTTTTTCAATAACTTTAATCAGTGAACTTTTGATTTTGAAGTTTAAGTTGTTTTAGCCTGTGCACTCGATTAAGAGAAAACCGAGTGTGGCGGTAGCACCCCTATTTCCCTTTAAATTTTCCATTGCACATTTTCTGATGTTTTCAAATAAAGTTAGTAATACTTTCCAATAAATCATTATTTAAATGTATTTTTTGGTGGGAAATTCGAGGGTGTTACAGTTCACCCGTTCGGAGAGCATTAGTAAATAGAGTGATGGTTGTATCATCCGTCATGTTTCCAACTTTCAGGGTTTCATCCCTCCATCTTTTCAGGAATTTGTTTAGGGTCTCCTTCGGGCCCTGCCTGACACTGGTCAGGTAACTGAAATGTCGTTTTGGGGTGGCACCGAAGGCAAACTGGGCCAGGAACAAAGATGACAATTCGGCAAAGTTGCTGATCGATCCGGGCTGCAGGGTCCCGAACCATTCCTGGGCAGGTCCCCTGAGTGTGCTGAAGAAAAGTCGACAGATGGCCGCCTCCGATGCTCCTAGTAGCATAAGCCCCCTTTGGTAACTCCTCAAGTGCCCGTGGGGATCTCTCACCCCGTCATATATCTGATCGGTCGGCGGTTTGGCATCCCTGTGGATTTCAGCCTGCATTATTTCCCGGGTAAAGGGGGAAGTGATCCCAACCCGCATCGGGGTAGGTTGTAGAGGCGTCATGTTCATTTGGTCCCTCATTTCATTCATCTGCCTCCTCATTTCGGCCATCTCTTCCTCTTGGGCCGTTAGGGGAGGTGGTGCTGGAGTTCCCAGGTTAACAAACTCCCGATTTCCTTCTGGTGGGGTTGTTCTCTGATTCTGACGTCCCTGTCTGAATCGCGTATTGTCACGTTCTCCCGAATAGAAATGGCGACCAACCAGTGTATCTCCTCTAGCCCGGGACCCGGTCGGGGTGTGGTCACTAGGAGTGTGATGCCTTCCCCCGGACGCATGAGTCCTTTTGCGCTCTCCCCGATGGGCTCGTGAATGATTTGATGTCGTGGTATTTCTGCATCGGTGGTATCATCATCGAATGACTGCGTCGTAGATGGGGTTGTGTACCTGGTTTCCCCCGTATAGCTGGATCGTCCACCATCCTGTTCATCCGCCAGGTGTTGCATGACCTTAGCTAAATCTCGCATGGCATGGGGGTTCCTCCTCAGAGCTTCTGGAATGAAGAAATCCCCATCAAAGTGTGGGTAGGATCCCCGGCTGGATTGCCCTTGGGGGGTCCGGCTTTCCCCACATCTTCCTGAAGTTTCCCCGGTGTGATGAGAAGTGATTCTAACCATTTTGAAATTAGTTTGATGTTTTGGTGTGAAATTTTTTGTTCAATTTCCCACAGACGGCGCCAATGTTGAGGTTTAGTCCCCCAGATCCGAAAGCCCAACACGAACTTTGGATATATCAGAAAAATGGGTCAAGAATCACTTGTATAAAGAAATATAAAAGATGAATAATCGAATACTCAAAAGCTCACTTGTATTAAGTAATTTGGTGATTACACAGTAAACTTCCCGAACAGTACATCGGAATAGTGACTAATACAAGAAATAAGAGAGATAAATCTATTCTAGGCCTTGAGTATCAAGAAGTTAACCCTTTACAATGAAATTAATCATTCTATTTATACTAATGGGGGGTATGGGGTGCTCAATGCTAATTGGTTGCTAATCTGGTCACTTTAAGTCTATACTCCCACTTCCCGCCACCATACTTTAGCAATAAATGCTCTCTCCCACTTGTTGGCTACCCGCTGCCCGAACGGGTAGTGGACTCTGCTAGAATCATCATTGATCTGGCCCAAGTACATTGGTTGACCCAAACCCCGTTCGGTACATATTTCTCCATGAGCCTGTTCATCTTCTGGATCCTGGTCTCGTTTAACGGACTGGATATATTGGTCCTTTGGATCCGGGTATTGGGCCTGCGGCCCAACATCCCAACAGTTACGTAGTATCTGTTAATATATTAATATTAATTATTATTGTTGTTATTATTATTAATATATATTATAATATATGTATATATATATATATATATATATATGTGGGTCAGCGGGTGCGGGTGGATGGAGCGGGTGACGGGTCGGGTGATGGGTTGGATGAGTGTTCATCCACACCAGATCCAACTCGTCTTTCAATCCACCCTTCATCCATTTTTCATCCATATTTCTTCGGGTTTTCGTTCATATTTTCGGTTCGGGTTGACTAGATATCCGCGAGCGCGGGAGATATTGCCAGCCCTAGGTCCGAGCAGCGGTCGCCATCCGGTAAAGGAATGGCTAAGACCGGTCTTGAAATATATAATCACGTTGAGGCCAAGGCCTACCGTGATGCAAGGACATCGGCACTGAGGGACCGGTCCAAAGATCTGAGCAACAGTCGCCATCCGATAAAGGAATGGCTAAGACCGGTCTTGAGATGGGACAATGGCGCGGAGCCGGTCCAAAATATGAATATGATGGTCGTCGTCCCGAAGTTGAACGGACGAGCCTGATCATGAGATCACGACGCCGGCGTTAATGCGCCGGTCGTGAGATGAAGACAAGGCGTTATGAGCCTTCCATAAGGTGATTTATCCAGCCTGAAGGGCTGAGCAGAATATAAGGACGTTGACACTAAATTGTCGGTCCGAAATATGACGACCTCGGAGGTGAGTCATCGATTGCGAGATGAAAACAAGGCGTTGGGAGCCTGTCCGAAGATGATTTTGTCAGTCGTGAGAGGCTGATCAGAATATAAGGACGTCGACACTAAATTGCCAGTCCGAAATATGAATACGGCCTCGACGTTGAGGAGCCGGTCGTGAGATGAAGATAAGGCATTGTGAGCCCATCTGGAAATGGTAACGCCGACTCTGAGCGAGCGGTCGTAATATGAGGGCCTTGGCATTGATGATGATCAATATGAGCCCTCGGGGTACCATACGACCCTCGGGCCAAGGGGCTAGCCCACTGTTTAGGCGTTCCCCGTTAACGCATGTTGTCTTAAGCGCTTTGAGAGGACAATAAACGTCTCTTGAAATGACTCCCATGAGTACCTCATGTACCAAAGTGTCACTAGTATTCTAAGGTCAGAATTTATGTGTCGTCGGAACAATACAATGCCCTTAAAAGATGCCCCGATCACTAAATAAAGAGGACCGGGAAGCGGACCGAGGGGCCCACACAAAATCACAATCATTTAATGACGACGATTATTTGTCACTTGAGATTAACTCACATTATTTAATTCGGGATGTTAATCCCTAATAAATAATGGTGACGAAAAATAATAATAAAAATAAAAATAATGCTATGTTTACTAAGAGAGTGAGAAATTTGTGCACTTAGCTCTTGAAATAGCCAAGGACGGGCTGGACCATTGTTGTCTAGCCCTTATTTTGGATCTGCAGGTTAGGGAGTGAACCAATGCCGCCTCAGAATTCCAAGCTGCAAGTCGGAAGTGGCAACGGCTTCAACCTTGTTCGGGAAATTCAAGAACTCATAGACCGGGTCAGTCAACAACGGTTTTTCAAGTCGAGGACAGAGAGCCACGTCAGCCCCTATCCCTCCTCTGTTCGGTCTCGTCAACGCTCACGTTCTATTGTGGCCGCTATTTCAACCGGGAGTAGAGCAGTAAAGTTTGCCGGTGCCGAAAACATCAGTCAGAACTGCCGAAGGCGGTACGGACCAGAGAGCCAGAGATAGGCGACTGAAGGTAATGGCGAGGAAGAGATGCCTCCTGCGTCGGAGCTCGCGCGTCTGTCGCAATGTCACAGCTGGTCGAGGATGAGGAATGGGCGCCATTAATGGTAGCAGAAGCATCTGGTCTGGGACGTTGAGGATAGGTTTGAGCTCGGTTTTCCTTCCCACCAGTCATTAATGGCGGAGGTCATAAACTTTAGTCCCAGCAATGAGCAGAAATCAAATGCAATTCCCGGAGATTTGCGTGAGGATTGGTCATGTCTGGAACGGTAGAACAACAAACGGGAGATGGTTGCTCGCTCGCCTTTCCCAGATCTGGGATTCCAGTATGTTGGATGAGATGGTGGTGGCCTCCTCTCCTGTCGGACGAGATTTAGATCAGATTCGTAGCTCTCATTCCGAAATCTTAACTCCTATGCTGCTGAGATTGTGTAGAAGATGATCAGCATCCTCCGCTTCCACTGGAATCGTGAAAACCCAAATTTTGTGTTTCCAGTCCAAATTCCAGCATCGCAGATAAAGTTTTTCCCAATCTGCCACTGTGTTTCACTGTTTTTGGATAATTTCAGGGAGTATCTAACTTGATTTTTGTTCAATCTCTCAATGAAAGCACAATTTGATGATCTATAATATCTAGATCTAGAGAGAAGAAGGAGAGAATGAACAAAGTAGAGAGAAGTGTATGGTATCAATGAATTAGATCGATCTCCTTTGAGGGTTACAACATGGACTATTTATAAGGAGAATCGGGCCAACCTAGGGGATAGTGGGCTAGGCCTAATACAAGGAATACATCAAATATGAATAGGACCCTTGGGCGTATGACATGCCATTGGGCCGATACAAAGAACGGGCTAGGCCCAATACAAGAAATATCTAATCTCGAGCACCCCCGGTCCTGGATAATATATATCCATCACTACAAATGTTGAGAACCTTGGAACATCGTATAAACCGGCCGCTGCTCTCCGTTTAGAGAGAGAGAGAGTAGTGTGAAATCTATTCTATGCTTGGTGTGCCTCTATTCTTTAATGTCTTAGGTTTTGCATAAGTTAGCTTCCTTTTATAGGAGATGATGACTAACTTATGGCTTACAAAGAAGCTAATGAGCTGAATTACATTTGTGACCCATATTACACATTTAATTAATAACTACACAAATACAAAGATATTTAATTAGATTGGACACCATAAAATATTCCCAACAGAGATGATCATCCTAAGGTGGATGGGCACGAACATCCCTTCTCCACTGTGCAGATCCAAGTGCCCCAAGGCTTGAAGGCCAAGCATTTCCCAAGATCAAAGGTTTGGATGAGATCAAATGCAACGAAAAAATGAGCGCCTACGAGTACTTATTGGTCAGGATATACAAGTTGAAGACATAACAGGGAGATAAACAGAAATATTACATTAGAATCACGGAAAAGGAGAGGTATGCTCCATAGTTTGTTGCCCGACTCCTTCCTCCTCATCTGAGTCCTCAACATCATTAGAGGGCTCATGCGCTTTTCCCATTTCTCAAACCCGAGCCATAGCTTGGTTCCGAGCCAGCTTCTCGAAAGTTTCTTGCAGCACAATGTCATCAGTGTGATTGACCATGGAGAATTACTCGCCAAAGCCCTTACAGAGGATCGACATCAGGGCCTCTATGACATCATACGAGCCTTTCGTCGAGCTATCCCCCGCAAGATCGAGGAGGAACTGACAGCCGAGCAGAGTCCTCTTTAAAACTCGGGTCCCGTTCCCCAGATTCTCCTTTATAGCCACCCGAGCTCCTCCTCCCCAAAGATGTCACCAACGACGTCTCTTGCGTATCTCTAAGCCACAGCCTCAAGCTGGGTCGTTTTCGCATAGCTGCCGGTATCTGCACGCCAGGTGGAGGCAGTGGCATCGGTTTCAGTTGGAACGATGGCGGCAGCAACATCAACACTATCCTCAACATTGTGCGCGGGGTTGGGAAAAGGGAGAATGAGATCCCGAGCTGTTCGGCCGCAGACACCTTCTCAAGGGCTGCCTCCAGCGCAGCTTGAAGCTCCTTCTGCTCCTGAGAAGCCGCCTCTAGATGCAGACGGGTGGACCCTTGAGCCTTCTTCACGACCTCATCAGCTTGTCGCTTGGCCAAGAGAGCATCCATATCCCGGGAACCCTCGGACTGTAAGATATACAGACCGGTCTGCAAGAAGAACTAAGGGTTAGAAACCAGGACGGACTCGAGAGTAATTCAAGGAATGAAGGACATGCATACCTGGAAGCACGTCGTCAGGGCATTCTCGACAGCTGCAACTCCATCCCCGAGTGGAGGGCGAACTCCCTCCATGCCTCAATGGCCGAGCGCCTGAGAGGGGGCAACTCGATACCTTGAGAAGCAGGGCCGAAGGGCTCGGTGCAGGACCTCTTCCCCACCCTCTCTTTCCCAGTTCCCGCTCATTGGGAAACCGCAATCCGAAGGGGCATCACGTCCTGCCTAGGACCAGAGTCAGCGGCCTACATTTCAAAAGTGGGTTTAGGTGCGGCCAAGGCAGCAGGCTGTTCTGCACCCTTATCCTGTTTGTAGGCCTAGGAGGCCGAGCCTTGGCAGCCTTAGCAGCCCTCTCCAGCTTTAGGGCATCGTTTTCCATTTGTTTATCTGTGGGGGTGGCCCTGTAACAAGGAAAAATAAAGTGTTGAGGTTTATTCCTTCAACCCAAAGGCCCAACACATTTCCTATGGATTTCAAGTGGGGAGTTTAGTGGATTAATATGCAAGCAAGTAAAGATGGGACAAACGAAAAGTAGTAAGTGAGTCATATCTTATCAAATGTTAATAAGAGTCTGTATACAACACACTTCAACTACTAGCCCTGAGGCCGTTTGTCTATCCCAATGCTAAGAGCTTAAGATAATTGCTATTGCTAAGGAGAAGAGGGCAGCTTGGCGCGAGAAGGAGAAGAGGGCAGCTCTCGCGCACATGGGATTCCGGCTTGAAGTTCAAAAGCGAAAATTCACACCCCCTTGCGCGGGCAAACTGCGTGCACGATAGACAAAAAATTTAGCGGGTCTCAAAAGACAATTTTGTCCTTTCTCCTTTTTTCGTTAAACCTTCGCGAGTGATGCGGGAAGTTGAGGTCGGTGCACGAAGTTAAGGTCTTCTGATGCGCGAAGTTGTTAGCACATGGGTCATTCGATGCACAAACGGTGATGCGCGAAATGCGTTTAACGCACGGATGATGATGCGCAAAATGCGGATCATGCACAAGCTACTGATGCGTGGAAGTGGGTTCGCGCACGAAGTGATGATGCACAAAAGGAAGTTCGCGCACGCAGTCCGAATACGTCAAGTGTCTATTTCGCAGAGTGATGCGCGAAGTTGGTTTCACGCACAGACTGTTTTGGGATGCACTACACAGGTTCACGCTACTCTTCTTTTTCTCCGATGGAAGGTCCAAAAATCACGGAATCTTCAATCGGTCACACGCTCTGCTCTGATACCAAATGTTTGTCCCGGTTTTAACAATCAAACCAATAGAATAGAGAAGAATAAAACTGAATATTCAATACCACAATGATTTTACATTTCACCATAGGGTATGAATGTCTCCAGGTCTCTTTCTCACTAGCGTGAATGCCTACGCTACTCTCACAGAATGATGTTATATGCAGAAAATTATGGGGAGGCTTGTGATCCCATTCCCTTTAAGGCAATATTTATATGCCTAGGGAATGGGTGATGTGACCTAAGTGTGATTGGGCCCCTTTAATTAAATGCACACATTACAAGGCTTTTCCTAATATAGCTAGTCTAATAATAGTCTAGTAAATATATCAGTTAAACTAAATACAACACAAATACACAATAATAAAACATGATTTAACACCACAAAATATCTCTAACAGAAAGGATTGAAACATATGATTGAAAGCAAGAAGGTAGTAAAAGGAATTGGCGTTCAAAGAGTAAATGGATTTGAGGGTGTTCAAAAAAGAACTATTAAATGAGAGAGAGAAGCGGGAAAAGTTTAGGGAGTGAGATTTTGCCTTTAGGTATATAGGATTGCACTAAAACCATATAATTGAAGTTAGAAAACATATAAAACCTCACAAACCCACAAAAATACAGGCTTGAGGAATCAGAAGAAAGAATGAATAAAAAAGGTATTCTCATAAAGAATTAAAGGGGTTGATATTGAAAATTTAAATCCAAGCAAAACCAGTCATACAAATTCAAATGAAACTTGGTTTGATTACCTTTTTGAATTAGAAAACATAATTCTGTGCAGCTCAACGTGTGGACTGGTATCATCACAAAGTTGCACATCTAGGGATATATTTTCTGCTGACAAAACACAAGAAATACAAAACATACAAAACCCAAAACCGGATATAAACAACAAAGACATAGAAAAAACAAACTTAGGCTCAAACGTGAATAAAAAAACTAATGTGATTCATGTCACAGATTAAATAAAAAACTGAACCTATAGAATCAAATTGTTTTGATTTACCTTCTTAAAAAGATAGAACCTTATGTGGCTGGGTGCCTGCAATAGTGCCAATGGAAATATAGTCAATTATGAATTTTGTACCTAAACAGACATGAATATAATTAAAACTAATGCAAACTTAATTGAGGAATATAATGTGAAAAGCAAAATTAAACCTCATCCCAACAACAATAAGAAATAGCAAATGTTAGTAATGAATAGGAGGTACAATACTTCTATAGTGGACGAGATAGAGGATGATGGCAATGACAAGGTCCTCAAATCAGTAGATGATGGGCCTCGATCACTTCATTTCCCATAACTGCTTCAACCCTATCTGCTTTTTGTTCTTACCATGGAAACGAAATGAAATAGAAAGCAAATAAAACAAAAGAGAAGAAAGAAATTTCAGATAAAGTTACCAGGGTGAGAGGCGATTGATGGTTATGGGAGCATCTTGATACTTTGTGGACGCTGAGGGATTTGGCGGCAGACTCCTCCATCACAACCCTAACTCGATTATGAATTTCTAGAGAGTGAAATGGAAAATGAAGTGAGATTTTTTTAAAATAGTCAATTGAATACCACTTATCATTCACACAGCACCACTAAACTAAATGAAATAATCACTTTCAAGAATGGTGTACCCATCATAATCTGTTTCAGAAGGGGTATTCAAAAAACGAGTTTAACTTCCATTATTAAAATAGGTCTAACTTTTGTGGTTAAAATAGTTCACTGGTTTTGTTCTTTGTGTTTGTTTCTTTGTTTACTCTACAAGGTAGGTCCGAAACTTCCAGAAGGGGTATTCAAAAAATGGATTGTGATGAAGATGGAGAAACAGAAGTATGTAATGTGGTTGGAGAGCAGATGATTAAGCAGGAAGAAAGAAAATATGGAAACACTGGTCTGAAATATTTTAAGCAGTACCTAGGCCATAGAAATAGCTTCATTTACCTTCTTGTGATATATTGCCCACTTAGCATTCTTGATTGGGCAGTTGGGTCAGAACCTATGGGTAGCGGCTGGTTTAGGGAATCCTGTTATAAGCAAAAAAAGTTTAATCTTAATATTCTCAGCCATAGGATTTGATATGGAATTGACCTTGCTTATTGGGTCATCTCCTATAATTTTCTTAGGCCGCAACAGATCAAAATCTATATTTACTAAGCTAATGGCCTCTCTTTTTAGAGTGTCAGTGTCTTTTTACGACTCTACCCCTATTGGCAGAATACTCAGTCGGGTAAGAATCTATTACAGTCCTACCCCATCTATCCAACATAATTTAGACAGGTTTGCCAACTTTTTAAGTTGAACTTTAAAATCGATATGATGCAATCTTGACTTAACAAGTATAACAAATTTAAGTGTAGTGGACAATCTTGACACGCGAAGCAGCAAAATAAAATTTATACCTTTCTTTTTTCACGTTGTAAATACACTTCATTTTTCTTTTAATACCAAAGCTTATGTGATTCGTTCCATTCCTTTACGAGCACAACAACTTTCAACCACACAATTTTCATTTTTCTGTACATATACCAAGTTAAAACAAAGGGTATATCGATCACAACATCCAGTGCAAAATTACCAGGTGGAAAATGTGATCACAACATCCTCTGACCACTTTGCCACATCGATCTCCCTTGACTCTCATAGCTCTCCACACAATCCTCCAGTGCAAATGGGCTTCAAATATGAAGCCATGTGGCGCAGGGCAACTGATTATAACGGTGTGGTGGAGGCTTCTTGGTTAGCCAATAATGATGGGGTGAGATCTTTACAGGCTACTTGGTCGAATTTGAATCGTATGGCGGGATCTCTCCGTGATTGGAGTAG